TCCTCTTTTCCACCACAGTGTCACCATATGGTTTTACCAACAAAGCCAAGCTGAGTGGTATTTCCAATCATTTACTCAGTAACAGGTTTTACAAGTTAAAATGTTTTCATTTTTCTCCCTCATAACAACCAAATTTCTAGAACATCCTTCACTGTGGTGAGGAATCTATACCAGTACTGAAAAGGAAATAAGACAGAATTTTAAGATTCTCCTGCCTGTGTCTAGAACTCGAATCCTGGAGGTGGCAGGCTGACATGGTTCTGATTCCTCCAAGGGCAAAGGTCTCCTGCAACTGTACCAACAATGGAAGCAACTTCCATTGAGCATCTGAAATGCTGATTATTCTACCCTGTTTCTGTAGGGTGGGGAAGTAGGGAGGACCCTTGACATCAGGCCTGACAAGTCATTTGTTTCATTCACATCTATCATCTTGGGCCAAGCAACCACCTAAACACAGTAAGTGACAAAACTCAGCTGCTAAAGTCGGCACTGTTCCAGAGCATTGACGGGAAGCAGAACCGAAGTAAGCCAAAGGCTTCTGAAAATCCGGAAGCCACGGTTCCCTTTTCACAAGAGGAACTGGCTATACAGCTTTGTCACTATGAATGAAGATCCAAGACAAGATACAATAAGGCGGTCACAGGGCACACCTGCCTCCGCCAGCACTCACAGTAAGTATCAGAGGCCAGTGGTCAGAGGCCACCTTCACCGCAAGCCACGTGCGGTGCCAGGCAACCCGAAGACAGAAAAGGAAAGGAGAAGCAGTGCCCTCAAAGAAGTTTCCAGTATTTGATGAAACTGTTCAAAGCATTTTGCCCCACTTCTGTGAGTCCATGTTTTTGACTAGTGCCTACTTTTCCCTGGAAATAAGTACTATTTATTCTGGCTTGATGTTTCTGAATCTTTTAAACCGACTGTCCCTATAGGTATTAACATGCCACAGTCCTACTTAATGTTACTTAGAACATCAAAATAAATGAGATACTGTACATCTCTAGATTCGTACAATGAGTGACCACAAATGTTCCTAAATGTAAAAATCTAATCTTTTATTTCTAGACCCCCATGGTATCTAGAAGAATGTAGTTACAAAATGTTAGCTCAATCTATACTAGTGACTGGGGTGGGGGGGGAAGGAAGGGAAGA